CACAAACGTAACCCGCCGGGCTTTCTCTGCGAGTAATGATCCATCCGGTCACAGACGCTATCAAATCAAGATAGTAAAATGGTGATACAAATCTACAAAGGTAAAAAAGTGCAAATTCGACAAGACAATAATCTTCCGGAAACGCGTTAATCTTGTATTTTGGCACTCAAAGCTTAAAATAAACATTTTAATTACAATTAATTATTTTAACGCTGAGTGCACATCAGAGCTGTGAAACTAAAAACTGGACACATTTAACATCAAGCTGCTGTCCCACAGTGTAATAAAGGAACTCATTTTAGTTTATTGGCAGAAGAAGTTAAATTAACTTGACTGAATAGAACCGGGCTGGACTCCCGTGGGACGATTTACTTTTGCGTCAATGAGTAGAGGGCTGCTGTACACCGGCCCTACACTCACTAACAGCATTCGCCCATTTTCAGCTAGCATCAGGAAGTGTCATATTTTGTAATATCGATACTTTTTCCCAGCCTTATTAAAATAATAGAATGTAAAAATATATATTTAGTCAGTTCTTGTGTTTGAGGCTTTTCATACTATTTATACATTAACTCCAAGAGAAAGTATTGTATGTTAGAGTCATTTTCAAGATATGAACCTATACTTGTACTTGATATTTTGTTTTAAGTGAAAATTACTTTCACTGTTTAAGTACAGCTGAAAGTGTCATAATTTGGAGAATTGCAGGTTAAGAACCCAAATGTAGGACTAACAGACACAGGCATGTCATGGACAAAGACCAAGCCCTTTTATTTTTGCCTGAAGTGCATATAACAAACAAAATCCAGAGAGAAGCAAACAAACAGCAATGTCCAGATGAACAGAATCAGCTTTTTGGGTAGAAAACAAGGAGTCACTATGAGTATCCATCTGGGAAACACAGACAAATGAGTGTATAAAATAAACTTGAGGTAAAAGGGGCGCTAGAAACAGGAAGGTAAGTAAAGCTGAAGACAACTGACCAAAGGTAACATTAGAGGCAATACACTGGAGACTACAGCAAAGTAAAACAGGTATTAAACAGAAACACTGCACATGAGTTAATGAGTCAGGCAAGTTGATAAATGCTGGACCTAAGACCTAGGACCAAGACATACAAGATTACTTGATTACTCATCAGTTACTTGATGAAAAGGGGTAACTACTTTGATAGTGACTTAAGGTAAAATCCCATCTGAATCCAAATTTATGTTCGGGTTCTCTTTATTTGAATATTGCTCGTGTTTTCGCTGTGTTATTTTGTTCCCTGATTGTTTTTAAAGGTATAATAATTTCCCTA